GAAGCGTCGAGACGGTACTGTACTCGACCTCGCGAGGGGATCGGTGAGAGCTGCGCGCGGCGACTCAATGCCCTGGTAAACGGGGGATGAGGCGTTCGATAGCTGTTTGTTGGGGTTTTCCACATGCTCCAGAGCTTCGTTGCCACGGCGGTTAGGACGGTCGAGAGGACTGAATCTGGATGCTCCTTGGCTACGACAGGGAAAAGAGGCTCCAGGAAGCCCTGGGTAGAGTGAATGCTGCGTCCCAGGGCCGCGATCGAGGTGAGGAAGAAGCAGACAGCGGATGATTCGTCGCTGGGGGTCATCGTTGCTGGTATGACAGCCTGCCTTGCACGTGACCATTCTGGTGTTGTTGACATGCGAGAGCTCTTGGACCGCCCGTGGCGCGACGTCGACGGGAGGAGCCTTCCACCACCAGTGCCCTGTTCCTTGAACCGAATCCCGCCTGTCTTTTTCTCTGATTCGTAACCTCCACACACCCGTCGCAGCCGGAGGCATTCACGACAGCTTGGCCTCTCCTCGTCGCATTTGACGCGTCGTTTGCGACATGTCGAGCAGCCCTTGGAGGGGCCATGGTTGACCATGTCTGCTGCACATGTGCACAATGCTCACGAGGACCGATGTCGCTTCTCGTCGAGACTTGAGAGTTGCCACGCGGCCGGTTCTATTTGCGATTCGTCGCATCCAGGGACTGAGCTATACTGTGTAGATACCTTCGTGCGGAAATTAGATGCCTAGCGTTGCGAACGAATCATAGATTGTTGGATTTGAGGAACAGCGGAGCATTGGACGCCCGGTTGCTTCAAGAAGTTGGTTTCATGTTATTAGGCAGGTACGAATAACTACCGAGGTAGGAATTGACGCACACGCACGCATTTCCTCTAAGGCAGTGCTGATTTACAGATCATCCTACCAAAAAGAATTGGCCCCCACCGCCTCCCAGGTTCCAGTGGTTCTGCTTAACGGGCGGTGAGCCAATTCTTTTGGTGGCGTCATCTGTGATGGTCCAGGGCTTCTCATCCGCCGGATTGGCGATGCTCGGACTGAGTTATGGGCTTGGCGATGCTGCCGTGGCAGTGTTTGCCATGGGGGTTGCGAAAAGCCGTGGGGCAGAACATCCCAAAGCGACCAATCGCAAAAAAGTTGCCTTTTCCGTCCGAGTCGTCGCGGTCTTATTCCAGGAACACACCAATCGCAAACACGCTCGATGCACGGCTGGTGCAGAGTGGAAGTGTAAGTTGGTTGTGGGTTGCTCTCGCTGGAGCAGATTGAGAGGACAAGCAAATGAAGATAAAAGGCAGTGCACCGCCGAGAACATTGTGTTGTGATCCTTACTGTCATGAGCAACTCTGGTACCCAATCTTCTCTACTTCATATTACTTCTGAGTGCCTTCTAAGATGAAGTCAACCTCCCTATTCAGCGCTGTTCTGCTGGGGGCAACGGTAGCCTCAAGCTCCATTCTCTCCCGCGACCCTGGGCCATCCTCTTCCATCTCGCCAAAGGAGCCGGAGGATCCCGTCATCCCTTTGAGCACGGATGAAAGCTTCCATTTCGAGCTGCTCTTCACCCTCGGAAGCACCATATTCGGGGCTGGCGACGTCAACGACGTTTTGGCCGCAGCGAAAGACATCAAGGCCGGGAATTTCACCAACTGGCTTGAGACTTTCCACGCGTTGGCTGAATACACCAAGAAGCAGGCCGAGGATCCGGACAATGCGTACGATTCATTGAACGTCCGGGAAGCGTGGTTCGCCGCATCGAGCTACTACCGCCAGGCCGACTTCTACAACCATGCGAACTGGACGGACCCTCGTATTAATAGCTTTTGGCTCGAGCAACGCGCTGCCTTTGACAAGGCGCTTGCTGCACTGCCCGTTCCTGGCGAACGTATCCAGATCCCGACTGATAACTTCACCGTTGAAGCAATCTGGTACACAGCCGCAGCCGACAGGGTCAAACGGCCGACCTTGATTATCGGCAACGGATACGACGCCAGCCAGGAAGATTCCTACCACTCGTTCGTCGTACCAGCCTTGGCCCGCGGCTGGAATGTCATTACCTACGAAGGACCAGGGCAGCCCACGGTTCGCCGCAATGATGACATTGGTTTCATCCCCGATTGGGAGAAGGTTCTCACGCCAGTTATCGACGAGTTGATGAAGCGCAAAGGCTGCTTCGTCGATAAAGACCGGCTGGTCCTTGTTGGCATTTCAATGGGTGGCTATCTGGCCGCTCGTGCCGCCGCGTTTGAGCCTCGAATCAAGGCCCTTATTCTCAATGGCGGCGTGTGGGATGTCTACGAGGGATACGCTGGTCAGCTGACCTCGGAGCTGAAGGAACTTCATGCTGCGGGCAAGCAAGAGGAATTTGACCAGACTGTCTTGCCGCTCTTGGATAGCCCACAGGTGCCTACACTCATGCGCTGGGGTCTAGGACACGGCCTGTGGTGCTTCAAACAGCATTCCCCGTACCTGTGGCTCGAATCGCTCAAGCAGTACACTCTCAAGGACGTTATTGAGAAGATCAAAGTACCCGTCCTTGTCGTCGATTCCGAGTTCGAGGGGTTTTTCGCTGGTCAGCCGGAGGTTGTCAAGGACGCACTCGGCGATAATGCAACTTACATGTTCTTCAAGGGAACAGCTGGATATCACGTCCAAGTTGGAGCTGCGCAGGAGTGGAACAGGTACCAGTTTGCCTGGCTGAACAAAACACTAAAGTGAGGAGTAGCAGCTCCAATGTGTCTGTGTCGCGACCCGGCCTGGCGGCTGGCCAAAAAGCTCATGTGTATTAGACTGCGATAGATAGATGTATGTATAATGGGCGTGCTGGAACCGTACCCCTGGCTGACAGCACATCCCTAACCCTATTCTTTTCCTTGGTCGCATCGCATCGCATCAATTGAAGTGCATCGCATTGCATTTAAATCCGTCAAATCTATCACCCTGAGCGCATTTGCATTGCTCTGTCGACAGCCAGTCCGCTCAAAAAAGGCAATAACTGAATAAATCGAGATGGCATCAATTGTGTTTTCCTCTGACATGATCCATACATAGCCCTAACCCTCCTACCCACCCCTGCCAGAAACCACCTGACAGACGCGTCCCATCTGTTGACCTGCTTCGCGCTATGTAATTTCACGAAATTCCATCTTTCAGGGACTTAGCAATCACACAAAGCAACCTGCGAAGTGCCTTGTTGTTTCACCCAAAATGGCACCCAAACGTGGGGCCACAGCGGCGGCCGCTCCTGGCCGGCCATCCAAAAAGTCAAATCCATCAACCGGCAGCCAAAATAACCGCAATGACGCGCCAGCTCCGACAATCCCTCGGAGCAAACGTTGGACTCCACTCATCTCGTGCTCCGCGAATGTGGACATGGAGTACAAGATAGCTACCCAAGACCCTGAGACAGCCTACCGGTTTGTCTGCATGTGCCGCCCTCCTTTTCGCAACGGCGAGAACGACCGGACTGCAAAGTGCGACGCCGGTGACACTTGTCTCTGCAGTAAACCTGCATCCGAGCACCCTGGTCACATCTGGAAGCTCTCGAGTGCTGGGAAGCGCAGGTTTCATGCACAAGAAATCTACGCCGACATGAGATGCCCCGACTATTTTGACATGTACACATTTAACAGGCATGGAGCCTATGGCGTCCTCGAGGTCCTGCAGAACCTCATCCTTGACTTTGAGGAGGCCAAGGATAACCTCAAGGAGCGGTGGGCTATCTGCGAGGCTCTGGCTTTTTTTCTCAACACGAATACCGCAATGGGCGTGGTTAGGTATGTCCTTCTGGTCACATCATTAGGGGAACAATATAATGACACAGGGCTGATGGGCTGGCATGGGGTCGACGGGACTACCGTTACCGAAACCTACCTGATCATTGGTCGCCTCTTCTTGACCGCCTTGGCCCAGCTGGAGCGCGAGGATCTACTGAAAGAGGACTCGGAAATTGAAAACATTGGCCTGATCATGGCACTATTCATGGCTTTTTCCCGCACTGCGAAACGATGCAGTCAACTGCTCTACGATGAGTACCGGCGGCAGTCGCTCGTACCTGCCAAGGACAAGCGGAAATGGGAGCCGCGGGATTTCCATCATCAAATTGCTTCATACGCATCCAAGTACGGCATCAGTTTGGTTGGGCCGCATGACATCGACGATCTCGTTGCCAAAGCCAAGAGTGACGCGGACCTACCCCTACCGGCATCAAACACGCCCAAGGCGGACGTTTTCGGTTTTGCTAAGAACTTGAAAAGGTACAAGGAGGAGCAGAATGGCTTGACAGCTTGGATGGCCCTCACGCACTGCTTCACACCGATTGGCGGGGACTCCCTCGACATCACTACCTGGAGCAGTGACAAGCGCAAGGAGAAACACTTTGAGGAGAAGGACCCGCTGACACAGGAGCATCTTGAGGCTCTTGCGCAAGGGAAGGTTATATCTGTTGCCTCGGTGGGCTTATGATTGTGGAATCTTGTAAGATAGGGGGGCTAGATGTTGGATGTTAACTTCGAGTTGAAGGTTATGTTAAATGTATAGGATTTGTAATTTCAAGCATAACTGCGACGGGCTTGAGAACAATCAACCTTAGCCGGTCAACAATCCCGCAGCAAGTCATCCTCTTTCAATTGATGATATTTGGCAGCCGAATGTGGATTGCCATGTACCTTGTATATGAAATTAGGGCCTTGATTAATCGGGGCCTGTTGATTCGAGTCACGACTACAAGTAAGGTATTCATTCGGATTAACATTCAAGGCGCATGGATTCCATTCAGGAGCAAATCCAGTTTTCAAGATATTAACATTTCTTAGTTACGGGCAACTCAAGGAAGCGCATCGAGTTAAAGGGGTATATAACCGGCCTAGTCGCATATAACCGTTTAGCCGGAAGTATGCAATGACATGGAAATATCGGGGTTGATTACCGCATACGCCGTTTTTGTGGCCTTGCCGCGGCAAGCGTCACCACTGCCGTCAAGGTGCTTGGAGCAAACCGATCAAAAAAGAAAAGCTGCAACGAACTTCGCGCAACGCCATCATGGCACGACTCGACGAGATGCGATTCGATCCAGCTAGCCTGAACAAGGCGACTGCAGCAGACTACTCGTCTTCCGAATCCGATGCCGAGGAAGACGAATACTTGATGCCCTCGCGCAATCCCCACGAAAGCGAATTCGCCGACTTCAACCCCCGCAAGCGGCGCCGTACAGGGCGTGACTCAAAGGAGAGCGCGGCGCTAGGGATATTTGGGTCCGAGAGCGAGGATGAGGGCTCGGGCAGACAGTGGAAGCACAAGAGCCTCCGGAACAAGGGTGTCAGCTTTGTTTCGTCTGCGAAGGCCAAAGCCGATTCTGACGATGAGCTTGACGAGGAGGAGGCGGAATACGATGACGCCAACCCTGGCGCCGTCCCAAGCGACGCCGAAGAGAAGGACGAACAAGACGAAGAGATGGATGGCGTAGGTTTGGGGTTCAAGGGTGCATCTGCCGCTGCAGCGCAAGGCCTGGGGTGGACGCCTCCCACCCAACAAGCGACTCCTTCAAAACCAACGGCACCTCCTCCGCGATTTGTAAAGTCAAAGGTTGACGTCGCCAACCCCCTCGGCAATGGGTTTACGCCCATGTCTCAGCGGGGCCCGACACTCCTGGCCAAGGACGAGGAGCCGGCTGCACCCCGCGCCGCGTTGCCGAGTGCGTTTAGCAAAACAAGAGGCGGCAAGACAAAAATCAACGCCAATTCCTTCGGCGCCCGGATGATGGCCAGGATGGGATACGTCGAGGGTCAGGGTCTCGGAAAGGAGGCGCAAGGTCGGAATGTCATCATCGAGGCGAACCTTCGGCCCCAAGGGGCCGGGTTAGGTGCAGTCAAGGAGAAAACCAAACAGGAGAGGGAGGAGGAGAAGCGGCAGGCACGTTTGCGCGGAGAGGAAGTCGTAGACTCGGAGGAGGAGGAGAAGAAGAAGAAGGCCGCCCGGAGGAAGAAGGCTTTGACTGGCGGTATCAGCAGCGGAGGTGGCAGCGGTGTCAGCACGCCCAAGCGCCAGAAGCCGAAATACTTGACCATGGATGAGATTAAAAAGGCTGCCCCTGGACTCAACATACCAGACGCCTTCACCCCCATTCTCGACATGACAGGGCCGGGGAAGAAAATGCTCACCACATCGTCAGGACTGATGACCCCGACTGGAGGCGCCGCTCCTGCCGAATCTACGGAGGCAGTGGAAAACCGGAAACTCGTCAAGCGTGCCCAGAATGACTTCATGGCTATTCTGGAGGAATGGCAGAGCCTGCAAGAACGCAAGGCTTTCCTGGATCTGCAGTTGAAGGAAGAGCAGCAGGAACTGGAAGAGCTCTCGGCGAGTTTGCAAGGGAACAAGTCTGTGACGGGGGCTTGCACAGCGGCTTCCAGGCCAGCGGAAAGCGGCGAGGCCGACAGAAAAGCCGACTTAAGCTACCGGCTTGGACGAGTCATCGCCGGACTGCGAGATGCGAGCAACTCCCTCTCCGACTCCATGCTCCCACAGATCAAGGATGAGCTCGGCTCCCTAGCCGTGGCCGCAATCCACCCCCTGTTCAACCAATTCCGCCAACTCTGGGAGCCGCTCGAGGAGCCCAAGCCCGCCTTCGTAGACGGCCTAAACTCCATCCGCGGCTTGCTCGGCCTCGATCACCAATCCAAGAAAACCTACCGCAAACCCACCGCCACCCCCTACGAAACCATGATGTACGAACTCTGGCTCCGCACCCTCACCACCACCGTCCGCGAGTGGAACGTCCGCGACCCCGACCCACTGATCGCGGTCCTCGACGCCTGGGCCCCTCTCCTCCCCCCCTTCGTACGCGCCCAGCTCTTCCAAGCCATCACGCGCAAACTCGAAGAAGCCCTGCAAAAATGGCAGCCCAAAAAACACACCCACAACCTCCCCCACCGCTGGATTTTCCCTTGGCTGCCCCACCTCCCACCCACCCACCTCGACCCGCTAAGCACCACCGGCCTGGTCGCCGACGTCCGCCGCAAGTTCCGCCAGCTCATCGACGCCTGGGACTTCTCCCGCGGCGTCATCCCCGGCCTCAAGCAGTGGAAGGATATCCTGCGCCCTTCCTCCTCTAGCGGTAGTAGCAGCCGCGACCGCGACCTGTGGACCCCGCTCGTCATGAACCACCTGCTCCCGAGCATGGCGCGCTATCTGGGCGCCCACTTCCGCGTCGAGCCGCAGGACCAGGCGCCGTATATGGAGGCGCTGGATAAGTTGCTGGAGTGGGGGGAAGTGGTGCGCCCGAGCATGCTGGCGGAGGTGTTGGTGGCGGAGGTGTTCCCCGCGTGGCACGCGGCGTTGTATCGGTGGTTGTTGCTGGAGGAGGCGGATTATAATGAAATTGGGGGGTGGTTTCAGTGGTGGCAGGATGAGGTGTTCCCGGAGGAGATTAAGGTGCTGCCGTCGGTGGTGGCGGAGTTTGAGAAGGGGTCGGCGATGATTGAGAGGGCGTTGGATTTGGGGGAGAGGGTGAGGGCGGAGTTGAGGGCGCCGGAGGAGGGGCCTGCGTTGAAGACGGCGAGGGACGCGGGGAGGGAGGAGAGGGAGCGTCAGAGGGAGGAGGAGAGGGTGCAGGAGAATGTGGTGGATGTTGCTGCTGCTGCGAAGAAACCGGAGGAGGTTACCTTTAAGGAGGTTATTGAAGCGTGGTGTCCGGAGCATGACCTGCAGTTCATGCCGGAACGGAATAAACTGCATGCTGAGGGGCCGATGTACCGGATCTTGGGCATGGACGGGAAGAGGGGCGTGTCGGTCTACTTCAAGGGCAATAGTCTGTTTGCGCTTATCAAGGACCAGACTCCGATGGAGATCAGGAGGGATAATGAGGCTGATTGGGGTACGTTGATGACGTTGGCCTCGTAGTTGGACGGCGTGGGACGATGCAGTGGTTAATGGTACGTCAATACATACGGCCATTGAATGGGTAGTTCATGCGGCTTTGCCTGTGTTCGAAGGGCCGCTTGGATGGCGGAAGAATCGAGGCCCATGGGGGTGGGCCCGCACGAGCCTTCGTTGTGGTCTTCTCGTCCGGGGCACCTTTACCAGCGAGCACTCGGGTCAATACTTCGGGACCGGGTGACGAACCGCACATTTTAGCTCGCCGACATAGTTGTCCGTTCAATATAGCCCCAGTTTGGCCAACTCAAAAATCCTATCAGCGGTGGTTACCCCACGCCGCGGCCGCCGACTAGGGCCGAGGTGAAACATTCAGGATTGCGCCATGAACGCAGAGCAGTTGGCAACTTCTGCCACAATACCAGCCGGGCTCCAAGGAAGGTTCGGCGAATTAATTCAGGGGCTATTCAAGGCAACCGCTATTCTTGACCCTTTTAATTATCGCCTGTCTTGTCCTTTTACTTACTGATATCAGCTCAGCAGTCAGGATGCTGTGTTGAATACAACCAAATCGTTACAATGCGGAGTATAGCGCTTTCTTCTGACTATGAGCTTTAAATTACCGGATTGTTTCGAGATGTTGGGCTGGCCAAACGCGGCGGCCAAGGCAAAGCAACCCATGCCGGTTCTTCCGTTGGGTTCAACGGCACATGAGATAGACCGATTAAGACACCGCTCAGTTTCGTTATAACATCTACCTCACGCTCGTCCATTCTTAGAGCCACTGGTATGCTTCACTCTGTCGATGCTTGAAGCTCCGTTGTGCCCACCAACGCGATCAACATGTCATCTATCATCCGCCTCGTTGCGGCAATAGGCCTTACCATACTCTTTACCGGTAGGGCCCATGCTAAGGTCCACGGCGTTTTCGCCCATTACATGGTAAGAAATCTCATCACCCAGATAGCCAAACAACGCACTAACCTCGCCAGGTCGGCGGCATGTCCACCATCGACCAAGCCCTCACGGACGTCAAGGAAGCACAGTCCCTCGGGCTCGACGCCTTCGCTCTCAACGTCCAACAACCCGACGCCTGGTGGACCCGCGCCTCGCTCGAGTTCCTCTTCGAAGCTGCCTCCCAACAAGACTTCAAACTCTTCTTCTCCATGGACATGGCCGTGATCCCATCCCCCTCCGACTGCACCTCCCTCCTCACCAAATACATCACCCACCCCGCCTACTACCACCACGCCAACCGCCCATTCCTCAGCACCTTCCGCGGCGGCGCCAACTCCAACGCCAACACCCAATGGACCTCCGTCTTCCAATCCCTCCCCGCCACCAAAAACAACCCCTACTTCATCCCCAACTTCGAAGACCACCCCTCCGTCACCGAGGGCACCTACCCGCCCAGCATCTTTACCACCTTCCCCGCCACCTCCGGCCTCATGGGCTGGGAAACGGCCTGGCCGCCCTCCGGCTCCCCCGCTTCCACCCTCAACCTGACCCTCACCACCGACGAAACCAACCTCGCCGTCACCCGCGCCGCAAAAAAGGGCCTACATGCTCCCGCTGTCCACCTTTCCAATGCAAGCACCACCCGGAGCACGGCAACTGGTTCTGGGTCGGGGGGCCTGACGCTGCCGCGGCGCTTGGCTGGGGGCGCTGGCGCTGCAGCCGGAGTTTGTCGAGGTGCTGACGTGGAATGATGCCGGGGAAGGGGCATATCTGGGGAAATTGT